GGAAGGCAGCTGTGGCTTGTTTTACTTGAGACTGTGTTGGAGAGAGGGAGCAGCGTTGGGGAGTCCCCTTCTCAGAGAGCTGTGGGGCCGGGTGGGGGGCTGTGGCTATAGTAGGACCTCCATATTCTGGGACAGCCCCCTTGGCCCTTTCAGTCTCTTCTTTTCTCTGTTCCTCCCTCTTCCATGTTCCTTTCTCTCTCCAGTGCGTGCATTCTCTGCAGTGAAAAGTGGAAGGTTTGGGAATAGATGGACAGATGGACATCCACCTCAGGACAAAGCACTTCCTGAGGTGGCATCTGGTGGGGCACAGGAGAGAGACCTGTCTTGGGACCCAGGGGGCAGCCTTTCTGGTACTCGGTCTCCTCATCTCCAGGATGATCTAGTGTAGCTTAGTTAGAAGTGATCAGAGAGGTCACTTGGTCCTGAGCTCACTCTGTGTAGGTCTCCTTACCCTGGCTGTCTTGGGGGAGTGCCGCGCAGCTCCTGCAGAACTCCTCCGGAAGTGGGGCACCTCATCTCCCAGGCACCCATGTTGCCTGGTTGGAATTTCACTTGTTTGTTCTCTGTTCTTCATCATTGACTAAGGTCCTCTCGTCTGCATCATTGACTCTGGGCCATGGTTGCCTCCAGAGCCATCAATCAGTGCTGTGGTACAGCTTTAACTGAATGACCTGGGAGGTGGTCTGCCCTAACAATAGGTGCCCCATCCTGGCAAGCTGCCTTGTGCCAAGCACCATGCCATGCACTTACATAAGTTCTGTCACCACCTCAAGGGGGTTGCCATGCTGTCCCCATTTTAATGGAGGAGGCTGAGGCTTGTGAGCTCATGTGCCCACTCAGCCAGCTTATAAGTGACAGAGCAGACAACAGGTGGGCTTTCAGACTCTGTGTCTTCCCCTGAGAAATACCTGCTCTCAGTTGCCCTGCCTGTAAAACGGGAATAACTCCACCTCTCTGTTGCATTAATTACAAGCTCTAAGCAAGATCATGTGTAAAAAGCACTCAATTTTTAGTTCCTGGCAACCAGTGCTGGCTTGGTAAATGGTGGCCAATCACTATTAGAATGGACTCTGCCCCTGACCATGCTTCTCTCCCCCTCCCCAGCAAGGTCTCTACCCTGGGGTGTCCCCAGCAAGGTCTCTACCCTCTTCTCTCTGGAGTTATATCTGCTTTCCCTGAGGGGTGCTTTGGCCAGATTAGGGTCAGAAGTGAAGAGGGGGTGTTCCCTCTGGGCTGGGGATTGCTAGTGTGCCCTGCTGGCACCAGGTTTTGTAGAGCTTCAGCCTCTTTGCTCCCCAGCCACTCCCCCAGTCCTGCCTCCCACACTTGGTAATTAAGCTCACAACATCTAGTGTAAGCAAAATAATAACAAGGGCATTATCTCCCTTTAGTCTGTGTTTTTCCTTGCCTATCATAAAGTAATTAGAATAATGAATGCCTTGTAAAACAATAGGTAAGAGGGCTGGCAAGAGACCATTATCTGCCATATACCTCTTGTGCTGTGAATTATTGATGCATTAAAACCACTGTGCCTGGAGAGGGCTCCCTGCCTCCCAGCCCTTTTGACGCTGATTTCCCTTCTCCAGGGTCTGCCCTATGACTGTGGAGCCTGAGCTCTAGGGTTGAGGAGCAGAGAGCTATTCCTTCCCCAGCCCCCTGCTCCCAGGTCCTGCCTTTGGTCAGACTACTTATGCCTGGAAGGCATTGCTCAAAAGGAAAGGAGCTTCTGATCCAGGACCTTTCCCCTGCCCTGTCTCTTCCTTGCCAACACCAGTGTTCTCTAGCTCTAAAAAAAAAGCAGGTGGTTCTATGTGAGGGTGAACAGAGGGGCCGGGAAGAGCTGGGGGCTAACAGTGGTTCTCAGAGTGGGGGTTCCACACAAGGTACCATTAACATTACCTGGGGACTTGTTAGAAATGCAGGTTCCCGGGCAGGGCTGAGCACACTGATTTTTTTTTTAAAGGTTTATTTATTTTTATGCAAGAACCGGGGTACAGGCTAGATGAGCAGGAGGGTGAGAAGATTCACCGGAGACAGAGTGGGCAACAGAACAGACAGACTGAAGAAATACACTGCTGAGGGGGGCAGTGGGTGAGACAGGAGAGGTCTGCTTTGCCATGTGGGATTCTCGCTGGCTGGCAGGGATCGAACCCGCACTGCAGAGGCTGCGGACAGCTTCACAGTGGGATGCTCAACTGCCTGCACCACCAGGGAGGCCCAAGCACACTGATTTAACAAGCCTTCTAAGGGGTTCTGATGCCCAAGCAAGTTCAAAAATCACTGCTGGAGTGTCAGTAAGGAGAAACAGGAAGTGGTGGCACTAACTAAACACATACTGCTGGCCCTTTGTCACTGTTTAATTTCACCCATGCAGGTGATACAGTCCCCATCTTACAGGGGAGGCTTCAGAGGGGTGGGAGAGTTGAATCTATACCCCTGGGCCAAGGCCTTTGGTGTCTTCCAAGACCTCCCTATTCACTCTCCATGTGGGGTCCTGACGGGTCAAAGACTGGCCATATGCTACTAGGGCAGAGGCTCCACAGACCTGAGCATAGACAAGAGCCCCCAAATAGGCCCACTCTGCGGTGCCCCCTCTGAGGCCTCTTCTTGGATTGTTCTAGCTCTCTTGGACTCATTATACTTGGAAAATAAAACAGGAGCGCTAGCATGGCTGGTGCTGCTTCTCTCCTCCCAGTTTCCCTGAGTGGGGCGGATGGAGGGAGAGAACCAGAAGTCAGGAGCAGCTTCCTGCCTGCCTGCAAGTCCCCACGAGGATGACTCATCCAGTATCCCTCACGCCTGCCTCCCAGCTCTGCTTGCCTCACTGCCGCACCCACTCACTGCAGTTAAGATTTTTCACTTCCGCCTTTGCTTCACCCTCTCCCCCCACAACTCACAATGGTCCCCAGTGTCTGTTTGCTTTGGAAATCAATTCTAGGTTTTAAATGACAAACATAATTTGCTGGCATCTTTAAAAGTCTGTGTTTGCAAAAATAATCTCAGTGGGTATTTGAGTAGAGGGCCTGATTCAATTTAAATTTTAGATAAATAATGAAGATGTTTTTCATATAAGTCTGTCCTGTGCAACATTTGGGGCATACTTACCCTAAAAATATTCTCTGTTGTTTACTTGAATCAAAACCCTCTGGGTGTCTTGTGTTTTATTTGGCAACCCTGTGCCCAGGCTTCTAGTCAGAAAGGGGCCGACACTCATTACCCTTTTGATTCAGTCATTCATGTTTATTGAGCCAACTATATACCAGGTACGGCTTAGGCTCTTGGGATCCAGCAGTTGGGAAAGGCAGATTGTAAATGAAATAATTAAGTAAACATCGTTTGCTCATGTGTTGTGAGGAAAAATCAAGAAGAAAGGTGGTCCTGTGAGAAGGCAGAGCTGCAATTTTAAAAAAGTGGCCAGAGAAGACTTCACTGCAAAGGTGATATTTGAGCAAAGACCTAAGGAGGTGAAGGAGCAAGCTGGGACCCTCTGGAAAAGAGTATTCCGGGCAGAGGGCACGTTGGCGGGCAAAGGCGTTCACTTTAGAAGCCTACGTGGAACTCAGTGATCTGCTGACGTCAGCCTTATTTCTTTAAGCGCTTTTTAAGCCAAGAAGGGGAATTTATCATCTCCTGTTGCTGAAAAGGTCTGTGGTGGATACATTGTTCAGTGATGGCACCGAGTTCCATCATTTCCGCTCTCCACCTTGGTCGTCTCATTCCTGAGGGTGGGTTCCTTTTCCTACACTTTCTAGCAAAAATTCCAGGCTTGAGTTGTATTGGATTGGCATATGTCACACAACCATCCCTGGCCCATTAGTGTTGCCAGGGGGATGGAGTGATCCAGCTACTCAGGGTCCATCCTGGGGCGGGTGAGGGCCTCTCAGCCTTTGGAACCATACAGACCAAGATAAGGAGATTAGAATTTCCTTTAAGGAAAGGCAAGTGAAGTCATATGGTGTTTGTCTTTCTCTGAGTTATTTCAATGAGTACAATCTCCTTAACATCCATTTCTGATGTTGCAAATGGCAGGATTTCTTTGTTCTTGTCGCTTTAATAGAGGAATAGTATTCCATCGTGTATACACACCACGTCTTTGTCCAGTCATCTGTTGATGGGACACTTAGGTTGTTTCTGACTCTTAGCTATTGCAAAAAATGATGCACTGAACAAGGGGGTGCACATATCTCTTTGAATTAGTGCTTTTGTATTCTTTGCATAAATTCCCAGCAGTGGGATAACTGGATCATGTGGAATTTCTAGTCTTCATTTTTTTGAGGAATCTCCACACTGTTTTCCACAATGGGTGCATCAATTTATATTCCCACCAACAGTGTATGAGGGTTCCCTTTTCTCCATATCTTCAAATGAACAAATGAAACAAGCAAAACAATAAACTCTAAGAGTACCAGACTAAAATAGTGGTTACTAGAAAGGAAGGGGGAAACAGGGTGGATGAACTGGGTACAAGGGTCAATTGTGTGCTGAAGGATGGAAACTAGACAATTGGAGATGAGCATATTGTAGTAGGTGTAGATGTTGCTATTTCTAAGTCTGAAAACCTGAAACTTATATACTGTTAGAAATCAATGTTACTTCCACAGAGAAAGGAATGACAAGTGGTCCTCTGAGAAGGGCTTGGGACTGGGCAGGTGGAGCCGACCGCTGCCAACCCCACTGCCCCGTCAGCCACCACTCCGTGACCCTTGATGTGATGCTTTCCAAACTCTTGAAGGAGATGTTTTTTCAGAAATGGAAGCACATACTCTCATTTTTCTTTCTTTCATGAAAACATTTTAAGAGAAAGTAAAGAAAACATATTTTAAGAAAGATTAAAGAAAAAATATTATCAAAGCTATCACCCTTTCCTCCTTGCTTCCCCACGAATCTTCAAACCATCTTCTATCTCCATTAGGACCTGGGGGCTTTGATTCTTTTGGGTAGGTTGTGTATTTAAATCCACCTGGTCCTGGTGTCTCAACCCTTGTTCTTTCTGTTTCCAGGAGGCCCAGAAGATTAATAATGGCTCCAGCCAGGCAGATGGCACACTCAAGCCAGTGGATGAAAAGGAGGAGGCGGTGGCAGCCGAGGTCGGCTGGATGACCTCCGTGAAGGACTGGGCGGGGGTGATGATATCTGCCCAGACACTGACTGGCAGAGTCCTGGTGAGTCCCCTGTTCCCTCTTCTCAGGAGGTGGACTGCTGTCTGGTCCAATGTTGCTTTGTTTTTGGGGATGTGATATTTTGCTGGGTCTCCTCCAGGTCATTGGGAGGTGGGGGTGAATGGTGAGTGCTTCTGTGTGGTCATGGAGGAGATACTGGGTTCCTTGTGCATGTCTAAGCCAGTGGTTGGTGAAGAGATTTGCAAAGCAGGTCAGACTCTGGGCAGAAAGGGTCTGTCGAGGAAGATCAGAACATTTCCTCTGCCAAGGGAATAGGTGTGCATGCACACACACACATGTGCATGTGCACACACACAGACACACACACACAATCTTGGGTAGGAGAAGGGGGGGGAGTCAAGGAAACTTGTGTCATAACATGTAAGGTCCCATAAATATCAGCATCTGGGCCATTCTGAGTATGGAATATGAGTGTGTGGGTTTGCTGGTCTTCTGGGGATGTTGCCATTGTCCTCTGGTTGCCAAGCAGAGAACACTATTTGGGCAATTTCCTGATCTCCCATCCTGGGTGATCTGGATCCTGCCCATGGTGAAATCCTCAATCACTCTGGTGATGTAACTCATCAACAGCCCCCCGAGACTGCCTGGCCTTGGGCTTGGATCACTGGATGTATGACTTTATTTCTGACGAAGCTTTCTCCCAGGCCCATCTGGGGCCCAGACTCCTCCTGCCCCCTCCTGTATGTTTCCCACATCCTCTGATGTTTCCCACATCCTTTCTATCCTCTTGTATAGAGCTTGGCTTCCCTGAGCTCCTGGTTCTTGGCAAGGATTGTGGGTGGAAAAGGCCAACTGCACCTGTTTGCCTTGAACTGAGGGATGCCTGGACATGGGTCTGACAGTGCAATATCTGGGAAGACAGGCACAAGTTGGATACCCTGTTCTGGTCATACTCTGACTCCAGGTGGGCACCTTAACCCAGGTAGCCTAGTCTCCTAGTTTTCTTGGGTCTGCCCTGGGTCAGGAGTTTCCCTAGAGGGATGCTGCATTCCAAATGATTTATTATGATGATTCTGGAAACTGTTTGGTATGGGCCACTGTCCCTGGGCAGTGTCATAACATGTAAGATCCCATAAACACCAGCATCTGGGCCATTCTGAGTATGGAATATGAGTGTGTGGGTTTGATAAGAGTGGTTCCACATATGGATAAAATGAATGAGGATGTCCTGGTGACTGGGTCAGAGATCAGGTAGGGATACTGGAAAATAGATGTCTTTACCCTGGATGCTTCACAGCAAAGCCTCAGTGAGGTGGTGACTGCAGAGGGAGGTGGAGACAGTTGTTCTTGGAAAGAACTGTACCTTATGTTTGGGATAAACGATTCACAGTGGCTTGAGGGGAGGACTATGGCACGGCTGTCTTTCTTGCGTCATAAGGGTAGTGGCCAAACAGCCTTTTAGCAGGACCGGATTTTGGTAGCTGAGGGGCCCAAGTTGAGCTTAATCTTCTCTATGGTTGATGTCAATTGGTGGCAATGCAGAAAGGGGAGAAATTTATTTATTAATTTTTAAAATATTTATTTTTTATTTATACAATAGCTGGGGTACAGGCCAGAGGCATAGGAGGGTGAGAGGATTCACCAGAGACAGAGTGGGGAGCAGAACAGGCAGATTGACCAAAGTACACTGCTGAGAGGAGCAGCGGGCGAGAAAGGAGCAGTCTGCTTCGCCCTGTGGGTTGCTCCCTGGCCAGCTGGGAATCGAACCTGCGCTGCAGAGACTGTGGACAGCTTCACAGAGCTGCACTCAACCCTCTGTGCCACCGGGGAGACCTACAGGGGAGAAATTTAAAATTGGAATTTTGGAGAGGAGAGAGAAGACCAGTTGCTGGTCAGCAGCTGATAAGACCAGTTGCTGCATGCAGAAAGACAGTGAGGGACCATCTGGGCCAGTGGCGCCCAGGAGAGATTGGGAATGAAGGTGGCTTGCCTTGGGCTATGCTGGTTATGACCGTCCTCATCTCCCCTCCTGGCTCCTGCAATGTTTCCATTGCTCTTTCGTGTTTGTCCAGGAGGGGACTCTGCATAGGAAACCTAAAGAGCTTGAAATTTGCATCTGGGTTTTCACACAGGACAGGGTGGAAACAGTGTGTTCTATACGTCCGGTGTGATGGTGGGCAAGGAGAGCACAGTTTGGTTGCACAAATGGGATGTCTGCTGCATAAGTGTGGCCATCATCAACAATTCTCTCTTTCCATCAGTGCTAGCTAATGCTTATCAAGCATGACTGCACCGAATTTTTTTCAGCCAGTGGGAAACAAGGAATAATCCCGATTCCATTGCATCATGAATGGAAGTTATGGAAGGACTGCCTGGAGAACTGCTATCAGTACCAGCATTGCATGTGTAGCAAGGAGGCTGAGTATGGGGAGTTAGGAAGTTAAGAAAGCCATCATAGGAAAGAAAGGCTGTGAGCTGCAAGTCCCATTTCAAGAGGAACCAAGCGCAGTCCTGCTGGTGGAGAAGACAAAAAATAAAAACCAGAAACACACTACTTCGTGGGGTCAGAAACTGAGAAGGACCCCAAATAAAACAGAAAGCATTTGCATTAGCAAGCGTATTGAAATGCTAACTTAACTCATGCTAATTCAGAGCAGAGCAAAGCATTCCAAAGTGAGGGAGCAGCAGAGGCACAGAAAAGACCTGGGGCTTTGAGGGAATGAAGTTTGGGCTGTGAACACAAAGGCACCCAAGAGCAAGTAGGACTGCAGAGGTAGACTGGAGACAGCTTAACCTTCAAATGGCAAGCTCAAGAATTTGCACTGAATTTTCCAGGAAAAGGAGATTTGAGGGAGGGGTATTGTGATTGGTGGTGGTGCAGACAGAATCCCAAGTGGACAAGCAGAGACCAAGTGGTGAGGGGGGAGCTTGGGGGTTTTAAGCACTTAGGGAAGTGAGCTCCAGCTCTTGAGATGGGATGCAGAGATTTCCTGCAGTGACCAAGGTGAGGCAGGACCTGAACTAAGTCCAGCCAGTGGAGAGATGTGGGTGATATTTTGGAAGTGGAAATCAGAGGCCAGGTGCACCTACTCAATACAACTATCAGCAACAACATTATTGAGAGCCTCTTGTGAGCCCATCAGTATGCAAGGACCTAGATATTATGATGAGTTTGAAAGGTCAGGACCATGTCTTATTCATTCTGTATCTCCCATTTGGCTGTTGTGTTGTAGGGGTTCATTGCAAGGAAGAAAGCCAGCCAGTTTTATCAATGAATTCATCTCCATTTTATTTATTTTTTAAAAGATTTATTTATTTATGCATACAAGAACTGGGGTATAAGCCAGAGGTGCGGGGGGTGAGAGAGAGTGGGGAGCAGAACAGGCAGATCTACTGAAATACACTGCTGAGGGGAGCAGCGGGTGAGGCAGAAGAGGTCTGCTGCACCATGTGGGTTGCTCCCTGGCCAGCAGGGGATCCAATTTATGCTGCAGGGCTGGGGATAGCTTGATAGAGCTGTCTTTTTTTTTTTTTTCAAAGATTTATTTATTTATTTATATAAGCACTGGGTATGGTCAGAAGTGCAGGAGGGTGGGAGAATTCATCAGAGCCGGAGCGGGGAACAGAACAGGCAGACTGACGAAATACACTGCTGAGGGAAGCAGCAGGCGCGGCAGGAGAGGTCTGCCAATCCATGTGGGACCCTCGCTATGTGGGACCCTCGCTGGTGGCCGGGGATTGAACCGGCACTGCAGAGGCTGCGGGCAGCTTCGCAGCCCAGAGCTCAACTGCTGTGCCACAAGGGGAGACCCAATAGATAGTGCTGTCTTTAACCCCTGCACCACAGGAAGGCCCCATCTCCATTTTATAGTTGAGGAAACTGAGGCAAACAAAGGGCAGTCTTGCCTAAGAATATTCAGCCTCTAGCCACAGAAGCAGGCTCTTTATCTGCAGGCGTCCAGCCCTTGTCTAGTGCTTTTTCTGTGTCATTACTTTCCAGTTGAAGATAATGTCTCTTCTTGGCTAAACCACTGCCAGCCTTCACGTTGGTTATGACATTTTGCCATTACCATCTCTGAGCCAATTAGGTCTAGAGCTGGATTGGCCTGATTCTATTAACATTTGCACAGACTAACACGATCTGCTCAGGCCTCCCTGCCGGCACTGCCATGATGCCAACTGCTTTCTGACCGTCCCTTTGGAGAAAATTCTGCCCAGGTTGCTCTGACTTACTCAAATTCAGATAGCTCTCACTAGCCCCTGCTCCCGCAGAGATTGGGCATCTCAGAGTTCCAGGAGATACCTTCAGAACCAAATTTCTCTTGTAGGAAAAGGCAGGATGTTGCTGTGAGCAAGGAAGAGATTTCACACTGAAGTCTCAGTGCACAAGAGAAAGCAGCACTGCCTGTTCAGAACCAAAGTGGTGTTTGTTTTGAGCTATCCAAATGTTTATCCTTGCAACAATGGGACCAAAGCAAGACTAGACACCCCGCTGTTCAGAGTTTCCCTTTTCAATATTTGATTTGTTTTCCTTGGATGCATTGCTCAGGAGGTTGACCACCACATCTGGGCCTCTTCTTACCTGTCTCGTTGTCACAGGTGAGTCTCAAAGCTGGGGCATTGAGAGTTAAGTTCCCTCTGGAGAAGGATTTGCCCAGACCACCTCAGCATATCTGTTGGCTAAAGAGCCAAAGGGACTCACCTTTCATATAAGATCCTCAGGACCTCTCAGCACATCTTTCTGCAAGTGCTTATTCTCACCTGTGCAGAGCTCTCTTCTAGGCATTGGTACAAGGCTGTAAATTACTAGGATGTGAATTATTTCTTTTGGTAAACTAGAGAGAGTTATAGAGCTCTGTGCAATAAATGACAAATGACAGTCACCTTTCACCAACACTTCTCAGGATAACGCCTCACACCTCCACATTAGCGTGCTAACAGCTCCTTGACCAGGTCTCAGAATAGCCCACCTGGGCCTAATCTCTTGCCTCAGCACCGGGGCTTAGCTTCACAAAAACAGCAGGCCCTTCTCTTGGAGTTGA